ATTAATACTGTCATAGGTAAACTAATTATAATCTTTTTTCTGTATCGGTATTAAAGGCCTCTCTGTCATGTGATATGTCATGTTAATACTGTCGTAGGTAAACTAATTATAATCTTTTTTCTGTATCGGTATTAAAGGCCTCTCTGTCATGTGATATGTCATGTTAATACTGTCGTAGGTAAACTAATTATAATCTTTTTTCTGTATTGGTATTAAAGGCTTCTCTGTCATGTGATATTAATACTGTCGTAGGTAAACTAATTATAATCTTTTTCTGTATCAGTATTAAAGGCCTCTCTGTCATGTGATATGTCATGTTAATACTGTCGTAGGTAAACTAATTATAATCTTTTTTCTGTATTGGTATTAAAGGCTTCTCTGTCATGTGATGTTTATACTGTCGCAGATAAACTAATTATAATCTTTTTCAGATATGAGTGAAGAAGATGCTGTAGCTTTGTTGGAACAGTGTCGATTAGAAATCCAGAAACGATTTATTGTAAACCTTCCTTCTTTTAAGGTTCGGTTAGTGAACAAAGATGGGGTACATAACCTTCCAGACCTCTACTCCAAAGGTTATATTAAGTTGTCTTAGGTAACAGTTAGTATTCATGTTGTTTATTACTCCTTTATCAACACTGTGTAATCTAAACTTTACATTAAATAAAGTAATAATTGGTAATCACCAAAGCTTGATGTTGTTATGACTTTCCGATCATTTTGTCACGTATTAAGGACCCGAAATACTTTTAAATGAAATACTTAGCTGGATCGTGTAGTACTCTTAAGATGCATTGTGGCTACTGATAAAAATAATATGATACATAACGTTTAATATAGCTAGATTATGAAGTACGTTCATTATATTTGTACATATTGCAGTTTTCTCATTTCAACTTCAAATCTTTCTTCGGTAAAATACTGTGGGTACAGGTCAGTGACTAAATTGGACATTTCAAACTGAAGCTAAAGCCACTAGATATACTTGAAAGTTTACACACACCTTTTTTATATATATATACATTCATAAATGTTTTTGCTCACTAAATTTTAGTTTTTGTGAAGTTACTTATAAACGTTGAAACGTTTTGTCTCATTGCATTGGGTGTAGAAGTAGAAAGTATATTGTTATTTAGAAAGGTAACTGATTTAGCCTTGGAGATTCAAACTGTTAATTACAAGACGTGGTTTGTTGAAATATTGATTTCTCGTTTGTTTATGTATAAAAATAAAAATGTGATTTATATTGAAATAATTGAATATATTTTACCAGTTGGAGCAACGTATATTTCCTAGAATTTTCATTCCGAAGAAGGAGAGACTTTAATTTCTTAAATAGAAATATCTTTGAGGCTTTAGAACTTTGATAACAGAAAAAAAGATTTAAATGATCTTAATAATAATATTTTATGAAATTTTTTTTTTTTTATTACATTTAAGGTTGTTGAAAACCATAATTATGTTTGGTGATATGTATTATACTATTGTTAATGAGTACTGGTTTTAAGACTGTCCACTGAAATAATGATTTGTGGAGCATAGTTTTTCACTCTGCTTCTGTGTTTAAGACTGTACACTGAAATAATGATTTGTGGAGCACAGTTTTTCACTCTACTTCTGTGTTTAAGACTGTACACTGAAATAATGATTTGTGGAGCACAGTTTTTCACTCTGCTTCTGTGTTTTATTTAACAGTTTTTTTCCAGTAGTTATTGATTTCTGTCAAATTCCTAAAACACTTTTCAACTTGTAACCGTGTTTTACGATGAATAAAAAAAAATAGTCTCTCAGGATATGCATTAATTTAAGGTCAGTACCGAATGGACATCGAGGAAGCTGACCAGTGGTTTAATATTTGAATATTTCTACACACTTCTGATTTGAAATCCATAAGAAACAAAAAGTAACTACAGATTAACCTTTAAAAAAAAAAAACATTTTACTAAATAAATAAGTAAACATCTGGTGAGCTGATATCAAAATTAATTTTGCTAGAATCAAATTCCTATAATGCTCATTATCCTGTATCTACGTTTGATCATTTGGGAATTTAACTGAATAAACTATCATTGTAGTCATTTAAAGTTACTAAAAACATTAGTTAATAATATTTGAATATTTCTATTTATTCCTTATTCAAAATCCATAACAAAAGGATTGCTCTAAAAGATATATGCATATTAACCTCTTGTACTTAAAAACAATTTTATTAAATAAAAAACGCCTGGTGAGGTTTTAATAAACTTAATTTTGCTGGAACGAGAATAAAAGATATATATTAGGCTTCACAATTGCTACATATACACAGTTCATAATAAAATTTGTAAGACTATTAGTTTCATATTTCACCCACCAAATTTAATAATATCCATCATATCTTGTTATATATTTTATTGTTCAGTGTGGAATATCTGCGACAGTTTACTTTGAAAAAATTGAAAGCATTCTAGTTTCAAAGAAAAATCTGTTAAAAACATCCTCCAGTAATCACCGAGTGTCAGCCAGAGATATGAAGAAAGATTTTTCCATTGTACAGTCATCATTGTAGCTTTACACTTAAATCAGTAACTGTTAAAATATTTGTGGCACCATAAGTTAAAACAGTCGGCATCATTGCAAACTAAAGAAACATATTTTTTAATATCCTGTACCGGTACACTAATCTGGATGAACAGGAACTTGAATCAAACAATTAAGGTATTATTTGAAAATATAGTTTAATTTTTAAACTGATCTAAAACTCCTTGTGCCATTTAGTTTTAGAGCACTACTTAGTTTCTAAATATCTGTTCGCTATGGTAATTAAAGCGATTTTTATATAATAACTAAAACAACTACACAATAATACAGAAATAAATACAAACACTTTCGTTTGCTTAAACTTCAAAGAATTGAGTATTTGTAAAGTTGCAAGAAATATTTCAATATTCAGCCGTTCCTTGAAGAACAGCGAGGAGTGTTTGCGGAAACGTATATAGATGTATAGTACAAAAAGTAAATGCCACTGGAGAGCAAGGACTTGCTCGACATCTTAATTTTTGAATTATTTTTGGCTAAGCCTTTTCAGCATAACACTATTCAAATTTACGTTGCGAGTCGCTTCAACAGAAAATAAAATGTATAAAACGTTCATCAATATTAGTGTCTAATTCTTTATAATTATCTATAAAACATTATAAAATCATTATCAATCTCTCATGGTAATTATTAGAAACTTATAAAATATTCATTTATATGTTAACCAGTTGAAAATATGCAAATATATTATAAGATAATTTTACGGAATTCTGAAATAAATTCACGATTGCATTTAAAAGTTTAAATGAAAATATTAGTAACTATTTTATCAGCAAAAGAGTCGCGGAAATATTATTCAGGTGGTTGTTCGTTTACTTTTCTGCTCAGCTACACGAGGGCTATCTGTGCTAGCCGACCCTGATTTTGATATGATAGACTATTGGAAAGTCAGCTAGTTATCGTCACCCACCGCTAACTCATGGGCTATTCTTTATCAACGAATAGTAGGATTACCATAACATTATAACGCCTCCACAGCTGAAAGAACGAGCACGTGTAGATTGCCCTACAATTAGGCCACGAAAGGCCATCAGTTGGCAGAAACTATCGAAATCACTAATCGGTTGCTTAGCCCTATCATTAATACGACCACTTTTTTTAATAAATAATTTCAAAAATCTTAACAAGGACTAAGCTTAAGAATTGAAAGTTATCGAATTATAATGTCAAATTTATGCTGACACTAATATCTGCTCTTAAAAGTCAAAGTCTAACTTATATTCTTAGTAGAATAGGCTTTAAGGCTAAAATTTATCATTTCTTTTACTTGTTTTAGCCCCCCCCCCCCCCCAATGGCACAGCGGCATGTCTGCGTACTTACAACGCTAGAAACAAAGTTTCATAAAACAAGAGCGTGGGAGGACTAGTACAATTAACAAGACATGAAAAAAAAGCACATGTGAATCATGTCTAAAACATTTATAAGTAAAATACTATACTAATGTTAGACGAGAGGTTTGAACTGCAAAGCAAAGACAAAATAATAAACATAGTAATAAATGTAGTGTTTCTTGGAGAACAAAGAGTTAAACAAAACGTGATAGTAGGCGGTATCAAGCAGTGTAGCGCCGGATTGTGATGATAAAGTACGGGTCAACTTATGTAGTAGTTGGCGTATTGTTAAATATTTGCAGTGTACGATATATTTTTTAAAGTACGATAATTTTAAGAATACAATACGATAATTTCATATTTTAGATTTGGGAACACTAATTAGGGTCGTAGATGCGTTATAAGTTTTATGAATGACAGTACAATCCCACTATTCAATCAAAGTAATTCAATAATTTACAGTGGTTACTCTTGACTAGCTGTTTTCCCTCTTGTCTCTCAGTACAAAGTTAGGGACGGCTAGCCCTTGTGTAATGTTTCGGGAATATCCGAAGCAAACAGACAAGCATAATTTTAAACGACTAATTTAATCGAAAAGCTTACAAAAAAATAATAAATCACACGTTAGCTTATCTTTTGTGCCACCAGAGGGCATTTTACCCTGAATGGTGACCTTCTGTATCTATGACAACTACTGATCTATAAAGTAACTTACCAATTTAATATAACTGTGTTGGTATAAACTATAATGCTAACATTCAATTATTCAAAGTTTAGTACTTTCGGCTGAAAGTTATACTTAGATATCAAAGTGATGAGAGAAAGATTTCATGCAAGTAAGTTACTACGTGTAAAGTTAAGTTATACTTTATAGTAAGTAGTAGTACTACTACTAATACTATTAGTATTACCAATCAAATCCGATTTTTTTTTGGTAATTAGATGTTGTAATAGTATTATTATACTTATTATAAACCTACTTAGAAAAACATTTCACAATAGTGTATTTTGTACTTTCCTGCTCTACTTCGGAAGAAACTAAACTGTTTTACGTCACGTCCCCTAACGTCAATACTCAATAATAACCCGTAAAAAGAAGCGGTCTGTGTGAAGTTGGCTCATTCGAGTCTTTGATGTATAAGAGGCGAAGGTGAACTACATTATAGAAACTTAGAGAAAGGTACGTTTTCCTATATTAGTTAATAAGAATGGTAGTAACTAGTACTGGATTACGTGTGGATTATATTTCTACATGCATTTTTTTTTAATTGGTAGATTGGTTATTTTATCGTCATATAGTTTATTTAATGTGTTGTATTATGATGAAATTATTAATTTAAGAATGGTTTATAAAATTCTGAGTACATCTAATGTTATCATCTTAAAAATTTTCTGACGATTAATATTTATGTCAAAGTTTGTTATTGATTCATACACCTAGTATATCAAATAGCCTTAATTTTGATATATGTATTGGAAAATTATTAATATGCAATCAGAAATAATGTTTTAGGAATGAATATGGATTGAATAATGAGTATTGAATAGGAAAAAGTAACAGTTGTTAAATTTATTAACTAAATGTTATTTACCTTGCAGTTTGATTATATCTTTAACAGTAAAATAAACAATGCTTTTCTATGCCATTATTTCTTGGTGTCATATTGATATAATATTACATGTTTTTGTTACACCAGTAGTTTTTAAAATGTTTTGATTCATAAGATTTATAAATTTCTTTATTAGTTTTATCAGTTAATTTGATACTTTTTTAAAATAACATTATTGTATGAACAAGAAGGTGAGTTCTTAAAGTATGTATTTATACTCTTGATTTTAGATTTATTGCTTAATTCTTTAAGTTTAGTTTGTTTTTCTTCTTGCTAAGCATAAAGCCAATGTATTTATGATTTCGTAAATATGAAATCGTACCATAAGCCCACAATGATTCCACTGTATTTCAATGAGAAATTATTTTATCAATACCAAAACAGCAAGAGAAACACTGATTTTTCAAAACAAAAGTTAAGACACAACTTTTTCCTTCCTATTTGCTAACGTAAATTTTGTTTTTGTTTTATAAAGTATAAATATTGAAATTTAATCATATTCTGAAGGTTATAGTTCTAAGTTGTGAGGACAGTAAGTGGTTATAGGCTAACTCATTTTCTGACTGACTTGCATGTTGTTATTATTATAATTTTTTTGTTTCTTACAGATGTTTAGGACAACGGTTTTTGTAACAGGTGGAGCTGGATATGTTGGATCTCACACAATCCTAGTGTTGTTGAATGCTGGCTATGAAGTTGTGGCTATAGACAATTTTGTTAATGCCATACCAGGTAAAATGCTTTGTTTTTACCTGGAGCCTACAGAAGCAATAAGTTAAGTTTCTTATTCTGTAAAAAATTCTTCTTCAGTTACCACATAGGGTTGCCACTTGCTGGAAAAACAATTCAATGTCTCGTTCCTTTTTTATGTGGGCCAAAAGATTTTCACTGTTATCACGTTACAAGGGGTTAACTAATATTAAACATTTCAGTGCCCAGCTATCATTGCTACAGTGTTGACACTTCCCCAGTTTAAGCGATAATAGGTCAAACCTGTTGAAAACACAACAGCTATCTGCTGTGTGTGTGTTACTATAAGTGACTGTTGTAGTATATTAATAAAGTGTATTATCATACATATCTGATTCAATTCTGTAATTCATTATATGATGGAGGGGGGGGGGGAGAACAGAGAGTTGCCTAGTTGGGAGGGTGGAGGTTCTATTTTTTTTTTAGTTTTTTCATCATTGTTAACCTATTATCATGGTATGATAAGATATACTTAAAAAAACCAGATACTTGATGACTAGGGTATATATCTGAAAATCTCTTATTGTTAATCTGTTTTCACTGCTGATGGCTTGCGTTTTTAATTGTCAAAAGTGTTTTTCCTGCCACTTTTAGGTATTCCTAGATTTTCATATTTTTATTCAGCAATGTTTACAGAATCTGAAAGTTCTTTAACTTCTGATCTTTAGATGATAATTCACAGATCCAATGAAATACATTATATTACTATTACACATTTTTTTGTCAGATGTTTAAGGAATTGATCAGTGATGTGTATTTTCTTCATTCACCTGGTTGTTATGTTAAGTCTCATTTAACATATACTGTCAGATTTATTCAGAATACTTTTATCTGTGATGTGTACAAAATTTGTATGATTGTGTGAGATGACTCGAGTATATAGTTTTAAACTGTTGAAGGAAGAACTCGTTTATTTTTATTATAGTAACAGGTTATTATCTTTTGTTCTGTTAACAAAACCTATAGTGATAGTGATATCAGTTGAAAATTAGTTTTAAAACATAAACAGTGTTGTTTTTGAAATTCACGAGACGTCTAGATGCTATTATTAACAAGCCAGAGAATACAAATAATTAGTATGTACATTTAGGGAGTTAGATCTGATGTCAACCAATGTGATGAGATCTACATTAATTACTAGGGAGGTGAGGGAGGCAGTGTGGTGGTTTCAGAAATATTTAAGCTGGGCTTTAGTATTGTTACCCATGGCCAGGTGGTCAGGGTGCTCGACTCCCAATCTGTGGGTTGCTGGTTCAAATCCCCATACCACCAAACATGCTCGCCCTTTCAGCCATGGGGGGATTATAATGTGACGGTCAATCCCACTATTCGTTGGTAAAAAAGTAGCCCAAGACTTGACGGTGGGAGGTGATGACTAGCTGCTTTTCCTCTAGTCTTACACTGCTAAATTAGGGATGGCTAGCGCAGATAGCCCTCGTGTAGCTTTGTAAAAAATTTCAAATAAACTAAAACTAAAAAAAACTAGTATTGTTACCAAACATATTTCCATACCTCATACTTGCTAACTGTTAGCCCCTCTAAACCTTTATAAATTGGTCACAAGTGTTACATTAAGAAGTCAGTACCCATTCGTGTGGTACCCCACCAGTGTTATGGATCCTGAAGTCAATGAGTTCTTTTTTTCAACACATGTATATCAGTTAATATGTAGTTCATTTCCCTTATCTTGTACTTCCTAAAATCCATAGTTTCTGAAACCATTAGGAATATATAGTTATGTCTAGAACAATACTTTTACAAATGTTTCCTAAACTAGTAATTAAGAATGATTTTAAAGATAAATTTTGTAAGTATGTCATAAAGCTAGCTAATATTTAATAATATTAATTTAATTTTGAGATTTGTTTTTCCATGAATAAATATTTAGTACTTTTTTTTAGGTTAATTGTGTTGCTAAGAGCTACTTGTTTGTACTGCGTCACCAATTGTTCATATTGTTTGTTGTTTGTACTGCATCACCAATTGTTCATAATGTTTGTTGTTTGTAGACTCTCAAACAGCTTTATTAAATATTATAGAATCTCAAACAGCTTTATTAAATATTATAGACTCTCAAACAGTTTTATTAAATATTATAGAATCTCAAACAGTTTTATTAAATATTATAGAATCTCAAACAGTTTTATTAAATATTATAGAATCTCAAACAGTTTTATTAAATATTATAGAATCTCAAACAGTTTTATTAGATATTATAGAACCTCAAACAGTTTTATTAGATATTATAGAACCTCAAACAGTTTTATTAAATATTATAGAACCTCAAACAGTTTTATTAGATATTATAGAACCTCAAACAGTTTTATTAGATATTATAGAACTTCAAACAGTTTTATTAGATATTATAGAACCTCAAACAGCTATATTAAATATTATAGAACCTCAAACAGCTTTATTAAATATTATAGAACCTCAAACAGCTTTATTAAATATTATAGAACCTCAAACAGTTTTATTAAATACTAATTGTATTGTTTGATGTAGATGTTTAAATATCTGTATAACATTAAAACCAAAAAAGCAATTTTAAACATTTAAAATCATGACAAAAACAAGTGATATTTTTATCACATTGTTACGTGACATAAAACGATGTATAGTAGTGTCCAAAGTATGTCATTTCTTATCATAAGGAGGAGTACATCTATAAGTAGGTTATTAGTGAATGGGAACAGTTCTATCTCTGAAAAACTTAATCACATGAAAACAAATTATATCTAGTCCAGATTTCCCCAGAGCAGCTGTAGCAACATTTTAAATATGATTACAACTCGTGATAACTGTTCGGTTCTGTGGCTAAATATAATGTGTACTTTTACCAGTGTTTTTGATACAACACCCACATTTTAAGGGTTGCTCATTCTTTTGGGTTTTTTTTACTTCCTGTTATTCGTTTTTGGACAGTGTGGTTTATTGAAAAAATGGTTAAAATTTTATTGTGACATCCAAGACTTTCCACAGTGGTCATCGACAGACTTTCCCAGTGAGTTATGAAGTCAGTATATAAAAAAAAAAAAGATAAAAATGCATATTTAACCAGTTAATTTTAATTACTTTTTTTTTCTATATCAAGTTATCTATATACTATTCAAAATGTTGTAGACTTACTGAAGAAGACAAGTGATGGGATTTAGAGAGATTTGAACATTATATGTGTTCACAGAAAGTTTTTCCTCCATTCCTCTGTACATTGCTTGCTTTTGGTAAAATGTACATTATCAGGAGACTGCTAACCCGATTTCTTTGCTATCGATTGTGTTCGTGAAGTATGATTAGAAAAAGGACTTTGTTTAACATTGTGAAAGGTGTAATAACTTGAGGAGTAAGAAGTGATTGTTATCTTAGTACCTGTTGATACTCTACACTAAAGTCTCTACATGGTCAAGGTAAAGTAAAGGTATCAATTAAGTACCTGAAGTGTAAGTTTCAAGGTTTCATGATAATAATACAGAATTTGTTCTAACTAAAACAAATTAATGACAGACAGCTTATTCAGGTGAATTAACTAATTAGTAAGCCACCAATAATTACATCTCTCTGTTTTGAGGAAAAAAATGTTTATAAGAACAAGGAAAAACTTAGATATTCAAGATGAAGTAGACCACATGTGTAGATTAGATATTCAAGGTGAATTAGACCACATGTGTAGATCAGATATTCAAGATGAATTAGACCACATGTGTAGATCAGATATTCAAGGTTAATTAGACCACATGTGTAGATCAGATATTCAAGGTGCATTAGACCACATGTGTAGATCAGATATTCAAGGTGCATTAGACCACATATGTAGATCAGATATTCAAGGTGCATTAGACCACATGTGTAGATCAGATATTCAAGGTGAATTAGACCACATGTGTAGATCAGATATTCAAGATGGATTAGACCACATGTGTAGATCAGATATTCAAGATGAAGTAGACCACATGTGTGGATCAGATATTCAAGATGGATTAGACCACATTTGTAGATCAGATATTCAAGATGGATTAGACCACATGTGTGGATCAGATATTCAAGATGGATTAGACCACATGTGTGGATCAGATATTCAAGGTGAATTAGACCACATTTGTAGATCAGATATTCAAGATGGATTAGACCACATGTGTAGATCAGATAATCAATATGAAATATAAAAAGGAGTGATGGACCCTGAACATGTTTATTATTTTTTACACTTGCATTTTTGTATAACAAAAGTGTGTTCCAATTTTTTAAATATACCGTGCATATTTTAATAGCATTATCAAACTTCAAGTTCATTTAGTTGAGTAGAGCTAGATGTTCAATACATTAAACACTAGTTTAGTTGTGTTTCAGTTTGTCATGATTGTGTACTGTTGTGTTTCAGTATGTCATGATTGTGTACAGTTGTGTTTCAGTATGTCATGATTGTGTAAAGTTGTGTTTCAGTAAGTCATGATTCTGTACTGTTGTGTTTCAGTAAGTCATGATTCTGTACTGTTGTGTTTCAGGAAGTCACATGATTCTGTACTGTTGTGTTTCAGTAAGTCATGATTATGTACAGTTGTGTTTCAGTAAGTCATGATTGTGTACAGTTGTGTTTCAGTAAGTCATGATTGTGTACAGTTGTGTTTCGGTAAGTCGTGATTGTGTACAGTTGTGATTCAGTAAGTCATGATTCTGTACAGTTGTGTTTCAGTAAGCCACGTGATTGTGTACAGTTGTGTTTCAGTAAGCCACGTAATTGTGTTCAGTTGGGTTTTAGTAAGTCACGTGATTGTGTACAGTTGTGTTTCAGTAAGTCATGACTGTGTTCAGTTGTGTTTTAGTAAGTCATGACTGTGTACAGTTGTGTTTCAGTAAGCCACGTAATGGTGTACAGTTGTGTTTCAGTAAGTCATGACTGTGTACAGTTGTGTTTTAGTAAGCCACGTAATGGTGTACAGTTGTGTTTCAGTAAGTCATGACTATGTACAGTTGTGTTTCAGTAAGCCACGTAATGGTGTTCAGTTGTGTTTTAGTAAGTCATACAAAACACTAATATTTATTCCATGTAACTTGTGTATCAGTGGACAGACAAAGAAAAGTGTCAAATACTGAAGTTATGGCTAGTTAATCTAACAGTAAAACTAAACTGATACTTGAGCTAGATGAATGATATAGAAAGAACTTAGTAAGGTTGATCGTAAGATTCTAGGTATTCCCATTAGGAATAACATTTTTTGTTGTGTAAACTGTTTCCCAGTGTGTAAGTTACGTATCGATTTCCAGGTAAGGATGGATCCATTCCAGAAAGTTTACATCGAGTTCAGGAGCTTACAGGAAAGTCTCTAACTTTTTATAAGATGGATTTATTGGACAAGGAAAGCCTGGAAAGCATTTTTTCCAAGGTATAACTGATTTACACACACACAAATATATTTGTAAGTGGTTTTCAAAAGAATATGTTCAAAACTGCTATTATTACTATTTTTACGTAATCAAGAGAATTTTTATATTTGATAATATGAGGGAAATCACACACACACATATATTATATATATGTTTTGTTCCTTTGTTTTGAATGTTCATTTTGGTCATGCAGAATGTTTTGATAAAAACCTTAAAAATCTTTGTATGTATGTATATTATTGTTATAAGATTTTATTAGGGAGTTGTGAAAAGTAAATAAGCTAGTTGTTAAACAACCAAATTCCTAAACAGATGTGTGATTGATGTGCATTTTGTTATACACGAATACTAAAAATGCCAAGCGCCATAAAACAATCGTGTCACTGAGGCTAGTTAAGTTACAAAACAGTCGTGTGTTTGAGGCCAAGATTTGATTAGCTGAGTGATGGGAACCTGAGTTTACGTACATATGTATATATTTGTGTGTATAACAAGAACTGTTTGTGATTTATATATTTTTTTGTTTTTGTAGCACAAATTGGAATGTGTTATACATTTTGCTGCTCTGAAGAGCGTGGGGGAGTCCTGTCAGATTCCCCTGGATTACTACCGTAACAACATTGGGGGAACCATTAATCTCGTTGAGGTGAGTATAATTGGTGCAAGTCTCTTATTACAGTGATGTACTGATAGAACCATTAAGCATCGTTGACAGAACCATTGGTCGGAGGATTGATATGAGATGGCAGATTCAGAGTCACTTACGCTCGCCACTTACATGTAATTATCACTGTTAAGGTGGCGTATCGTCTCTTAGCCGTTAATTATACTAACCGTTAGCCGTTAATTATAACTGGTTTTTAATGTCTTACTTTGTGAAGAAGTATTTCTAATTCTAAAGAACTTGGAATCGGTTAACATTGCTGGTTTGAAAATAAACGTCCTTGAACTCCGTTTCTTTCTTTTCAAATCAAATCTCAAAACCTGATCAACCTAATAAGAAATGGTTAAAATGGGGAAGGAATTAATGTACTTGCCCAGAACCCATATCCAGAAGTTAAATATTATATTTTGATTTTATCAGACAGTGCCCTTAACCTATGGAGACTGGGTGTGTGTGTGAAAAAGCATGGAAGTAAAAAAATACAAAAAAACTTTTATTTTGTAGTAACCAGTTCCTGATATACGTTTCTATAACTCTTCAGTGCGAGTTTTTTATAGTAACCAGTTCCTGATATACATTTCTATAACTCTTCAGTGCTAGTTTTTATAGTAACCAGTTCCTGATATACGTTTCTACAACTCTTCAGTGCTAGTTTTTTATAGTAAACAGTTCCTGATATACGTTTCTACAATTCTTCAGTGCTAGTTTTTTATAGTAACCAGTTCCTGATATACGTTTCTACAACTTTTCAGTGCTAGTTTTTTATAGTAACCAGTTCCTGATATATGTTTCTATAACTCTTCAGTGCTAGTTTTTTATAGTAACCAGTTCCTGATATACGTTTCTATAACTCTTCGGTGCTAGTTTTTTATAGTAACCAGTTCCTGATATACGTTTCTATAACTCTTCAGTGCTAGTTTTTTATAGTAACCAGTTCCTGATATACAACTCTTCAGTGCTAGTTTTTATAGTAACCAGTTCCTGATATATGTTTCTATAACTCTTCAGTGCGAGTTTTTTATAGTAACCAGTTCCTGATATACGTTTCTATAACTCTTCAGTGCTAGTTTTTTATAGTAACCAGTTCCTGATATACGTTTCTATAACTCTTCAGTGCGAGTTCTTATAGTAACCAGTTCCTGATATATGTTTCTACAACTCTTCAGTGCTAGTTTTTTATAGTAACCAGTTCCTGATATACGTTTCTACAACTCTTCAGTGCAAGTTTTTTATAGTAACCAGTTCCTGATATACGTTTCTATAACTCTTCAGTGCTAGTTTTTTATAGTAACCAGTTCCTGATATACAACTCTTCAGTGCTAGTTTTTATAGTAACCAGTTCCTGATATATGTTTCTATAACTTTTCAGTGCGAGTTTAGTTCACTAGTTGGAGTGTTGGATAGATTTATGTAATTGTTAGGGTTACTTTGTGGTGTCACGTTGTTCCTGCTGTTTCCAGTTCCTTAGTCCAAAGAATACAAGTTCCGTCACTACAGTAACATTTATCTTCAAAAGGAATTCTGTATTACCCTGTATACAAAAGCTCTGCACAATAACCTTACAGAAAGGCAACAAGCTTAAGAGTATCGTAGCAAGCACTTTTACATGGATGAGATCATATCACTTTCTGTAAACATAAATCCACCATTCCCCAGAAGCTCATTTTCAGTAGTTGTGTAAGAAAAAGTCGATGTTGTGTAAGAAAGGGGAATTACAACGTTTTTTTCAGTGCTATTGAATTGTGATATATATACTTACTAGTAGTTGGTAACTGTACACTTTTTCTGGGAAAGTTTAATTCAAACAATATGCGAGAATTCAGTTAGTAATTGTTTTTAAAATTTCCGTTGTATGTCAATATACTTCATAAAAAAAACAGAAAATGATGTTACTTGATAGGTATGTGTAGGTGTTTCTATATATATATAATAAATAACGTGTTTTAGAAGTAAAATATTTCATTTCCACTACTGATAATGAGTATTACTTTTCTGAAGGTGATGAAAAAGTTTGGCGTGAAGAACATTATCTTCTCCAGTTCAGCTACTGTGTACGGTGCCCCACAGTACCTCCCGCTAGACGAAAAGCATCCGGTAGGGACAAGCTGTACAAACCCGTACGGCAGAACTAAATACTTTATTGAAGAGATTCTGAAAGATGTTGCTAGTGCTGAGAAAGTAAGTTTTGATCAAATAATTATTTAAATAATAAAACCTATCTATCTCATTTTTTCTTCTTTTAAGGAAAAACTTCTGAACTGAACACTGTAAAGACAGTTTTGTAGCATTTGTGTACGCGTGCGCGTGTGTCTACAGTTAATACTGAACAATAGGTGTGAACAAGATGGCTTCATTTATCACGTTTTTATTATGAAAACTATTTCTGAAAATAAAATTTTTCTCAAAAGTTAAGTATGAAAATGGGTTTTGGAAAAAAAAAAAGTTTTGACACACTTTAAATGTTTGTTCTATAATTATAGAAAGGGCCTTAAAACGTGTAAATGTATGTATGTAAAAGTTTTGACACACTTTAAAATGTTTGTTTTATAATTATAGAAAGGGCCTTAAAACGTGTAAATGTATGTATGTAAAAGTTTTGACACACTTTAAATGTTTGTTCTATAATTATAGAAAGGGCCTTAAAACGTGTAAATGTATGTATGTAAAAGTTTTGACACACTTTAAATGTTTCTTCTATAATTATAGAAAGGGCCTTAAAACGTGTAAATGTATGTATGTATGGATTTAAAAAGCAAACAATCAAAAGATGATTTTTTTTTTATTACCGTGCTTTATTTTCGATAAATATTTGACTAAACGAATGACTTGTAAACTTGTATCGCCTGCCTGTGGGTGGTAAACAAATGGAGGGAAAATTAAATAATAAAATTTAAGCACTTTTTCTCATTTCGTTTATGAAGAAATAAAATGTGAGTGAATTTCATGGAAATACTTAACAAATCACAAATTGGGTCACAAAAATATTTGATTTAAAGAGTGAGGCTGTGTTTAGTCTTAAGAAAATAAACTGTCTCAGGAACCAGTTGTTTTTTTTTTTATGTGTGAAATGTATGTAGTAGCCTGAGAATTCAATGCTGTAGTATATTTTAACAGTGGATTGTTGTGGGGGTTCCAAAACTGGAGGCTGCAGGAAAGTTTCAGGGAGTCTATATCAAATATACAGCAATGAGAAGAAACTCAATACTTATATATTCATTGGGTGTGTGTGTGTGTGTGTGGGGGACCTCAGGTATGAACCCGAATGATCAGAGAAGGAGTGCTTATGATTAAAAAGTTTTGGAACCCCCTATGTATCATACACCAAGTAAAATGTACTTTTTTGTAACATTGAAACTGGAACCTTAAATAATAAATGTAAAATTGTTAAAGTTTTTGGGATGTTTTTCTAGTTCTTAGAATTCATTAAATTAGAAATTATTGATAGCATTTAAAGGTTTTTGTAACACTCTTCGTTTTGAAAATAAGTGTTTTAGCAGCTTCGCTCAGAAACGATTGACTAGTTGACCACATTTTAGTTGCAGGTAATCTGTAAAACACTCTCTTTCTCAAATTTTTGAAGTTTTCTGTTTCATCCAAAAACTACCGTTCTTGGTTCTAAACTCACACTTTTCGTAAGAGGTTTCCATTTTTTTAAGGTAAGTATTCTCAGCTAACCTTGTAGTAGAACAACCTGGATATTGTGAAGAAAGTTTTATTCATGAAATGGAATGATGCATTACTTAAAGAGTTAGTTATTTTCTTTTTATTTGCAATATTCTGATTGTATATGTTCATCAGCTTATCTTGTAAATGAAAAACTCGACACAACTAAGAAAAATCAGGCAAACACTTAGTTGTTCACTTGTTTTAGGCTTCACTTAGTACCAAGTTTTCTTGCACCTAACTTGTAACTTTGTATCCACTGTGTGAAATACCATTTCTACCAAATCTTAAAGTATTTAATTTTATAATAAAGTAAATTATTATTTGTGGGATTTTTACCTTACAATGATCTCAGTTTCGTTAATGATACAGAAGTATTACTGAATATGTCTTCTGACACATTTAACTAAAGTAAATTGTCCAACTTTAGGGCTGGAAGGTTATTCTTCTGAGATACTTCAACCCTGTTGGAGCCCATGAGTCTGGTAAGATTGGGGAAGATCCCCAAGGAATACCCAACAATCTGATGCCGTATATTTCCCAGGTGGCTGTCAAACGACGTCCAGAGCTACAAGTGTTTGGAAATGATTTCAATACACCTGATGGCACAGGTAAAAGCTGACATCTTTGGTTTTTCTCTTAACTTAGACATATTAATTTAAGGTAAATAACTTCCAACATGAAACCTTGTTACAGGGTTAACCTATGAAGTTTATATAACTTCCAACATGAAACCTTGTTACAGGGTTAACCTATGACGTTTAAATAACTTCCAACACAAAACCTTATTACAGGGTTATTAACCTATGACGTTTAAATAACTTCCAACATGAAACCTTGTCACAGGGTTAACCTATGAGGTTTAAATAGCTTCCAACACAAAACCTTGTTACAGGGTTATTAACCTATGACGTTTAAATAACTTCCAACACAAAACCTTGTTACAGGGTTATTAACCTATGACGTTTAAATAACTTCAACGTGAAACCTTGTCACAGGGAATATAACTTCCAACATATAACATATAAAATATCTTTTGATGTGAAACCTTGTCACTTAAGGGTTAAGGTTGGATTATGTGGTTCATTGCATCTGTCTAGCCTCTTGAATGTTTATCGGCAAGTAGCAGGATATTATTCTTAGCAGGAAACACGTGAACTGTGTTATCTCGCAAGGTTTTGATAATTACCTGCAGACCTTAAAATATAATACATTTGTTGATGACCTCGTGTTTTTTACATGATCTATTAATGAATAACGTAACTGGAGTTCCACGTCAACACTACCTATAGTAGTGACGGATAATGTAGATGATGTAATGAAGCAACTTTTCCCACAGGTGCTATGGATAAGATACGTAAGGTACAACTGTTTTTACAAGACTACAGCACAACACACCAACTTTTACAGTTGTTATTAATAAATTTTTTTTTTTCTCAGGGATGAGAGACTACATACATGTGATGGACCTTGCAGAAGGTCATGTGGCTGTTCTTAAAAACCTTGATGCGATGAAAACCTGTGTGGTAAGTTTGAAATGTGCTATAAAATATGAGAAATTCAAATTAAGGTAAATAATTGGTAGGATTTGTTGAGTAACTTTTTTTTTTCTAAATGTTTTTATAATTTTAAATTTGTACTGTTTCTGTTGTCCTGATCTTAAACAACTGATATCAATAACGCTATTGAACTCTTGATTCTTAATCTGCACTGATTACATGTATGGTGTTTTAAGTTTTTTTAGTTACCTAAGGTGTTTTTTGACAACTAGGTCCATCTGGTTGCTAATTTTTCATGAAGGACTGGGTAACAGGTAGCTTGTGGAAGAGTTATTATTGACAAATGTCCTAAAATAAGTAATAGTACCAAGAAAATGAGAAAATTTAATTAATACAAGTAACAAATACATCGAACTGAAAGCTCCAGCACATAAATTATCAAGTGTGTGTTATTCTCTATTAATACATATTGATATACATTGCATTATTCTTGTTGTATGTAGTTTGTAAAAACTAATTTTTATATTGTATTACAAGAATACATCAGAGTGTTTGTTTATTAATTTTGTTTACAGTCTTGTTTTTAAGAACTCGTAGAAAACAAACTGAAAGAAGTATTATTAGTATATTGGTTACCACTAAGTCTTCATGTTTGCATGTTGATGTCACCCATGGGTTTCACCTTTATTGATTACAAGAGCTTTTGTTTTGTTTTTCACTTAAATTGACATACAATTACCCTTTGCCATTAGTAATTTTTTTCCATGATTTTCCCCCCACACTTTTAAATTGAGAACCCTACCTGCTTGTTTATTTATGTTTTGGTTGATATTGCCAAATATCACGCTAAAGACTAACTGGTAATGCTTGCTGGCAGTTTATAGTCTGAAATTTGCATTTTTCTTAGATATATGTGACTTTTCATTTTAAGTTTAATACGATAGTATTATTTAGCTTATATTGTGTTAGTATTAAAGTAAGATATTTTTAGAAGTGATAGTTGAGGCAAGTTTGCTTACATAACTGTTAATGAATCATTTGTTGTGTAATTCAACCTTCTCTATTTTTATCATTGCGTTAAGTGAGTATTGTTACATCCTAGTGTCTCACAGTTTGTAGAAAATTCTAGGCCTCAATTGGGCAATGTATATATATATGTAGGTGACCAAGTTAATGCAAGTTATGTTTGTGAAAGTGTGTGTAAGTTTAGCTATAAAGTGTGTATAGTGGCAACTTTTAAAGTGTAATTATTACAAACTGTATTGTAACAACAGAGTAGAGAAGAATAAGTCATCTTGTCAATTGGGTTCTAAAGTAACTGAACCAGCCTGTGTGGACTTTGATGAAAAAGAAACAATTATTTAAATTTCTGGATAAAACTGTGATAACGAATTTTTGTACATACTTTTAACTTGTTTCGAATATATTATTTTGAAACAAGTGGACTGTGTGCTGTCCATTTATTGTTGCAATTTATCACCAACAAGTCACAGACACCTACTATAAAAAAATCTGTGGCCTTTATTAACCAAACAATTTTAAAAATGGTAATTTGTGACTCAACCAGAACTGTTAGTCTCTGAGAAGCTCAAGGTTTTGGTGTCAAAGCACCGTCACCAGAACAATCTGTAGGATATTTTCTTTAAATATGAGGTAATAATCTAGCATTTGAGAACTGTTAGACTTACTTTCTGTTCGTAACCAGTGCCTTTAATTAAATCGATGCAATATCTTCTTAATTGAATTTTGTTCTGTTTGTATTCCTTTTTTTTATACTTAACTATAGAATTGTTAGTTTTACTAGTAAAAACCTTGCATTCCATGTTTTTTATCTTAATCTTCTTTTTGAATCTCTTTCAACATGATAATCTGAAATTTACTTGTAAGTGTACTGCCTCATAACTACAATTACAAACCAATGAATTTTGCTGACCTCTCTGTAATCTAGGCTTACAACTTAGGAACAGGACATGGTTACACTGTCCTGCAGGTGATTAAAGCTTTCGAAGAGGCAACAGGAGTCAAGATACCGTACACTGTAGTTGGAAGGAGAATTGGAGATCTCGGCTCCTTATATGCCGATTCTTCATTAGCTGAGAAAGAGCTAGACTGGAAAGCAAAGAAGTCTTTAGTTGAGATGTGAAGACTAACTAACTTAACGGATAAACTAAAGACTTCTTTATCCACATCTCAAGACTAACTAACTTACACATCTCAACTAAAGACTTCTTTATCACAGATACAGATATGACTAACTAACTTAGGATAAAGAAGTCTTTAGTT